GAGCGGGAAGCACCCTGGACAGCTGAAAGATGATGTGGCATCGCCAGGTGGCACCACGATTGCCGGAATTCACGAGCTGGAGAAGGGAGGTTTCCGTGCAACGCTTATGAACGCCGTTGTGGCCGCCGCTAGACGAGGCAGTGAACTTTCACAAAGCTAAGCCATTTTTACTGTCTTATCTTTTGTGTTTTCTTATTCCTTCAACTTATGAGCCCTTCCCATACTCTATGTTTCGGCTTATAGTTCTCATTGTGAAAGTGGATATTTAAATCGAATAATACATAACCTAATCTGGAAACAACTTTTTCTATGCAAATAAACCCAAGAAAATTGAAGTTAAATGGAAATTTATATCAAATGGGTATAGTTTTTTTTTTCTAAATGAAAAATTCATCAAGTTTTACTGGTTTTAATGGGACCCATCATCATCATCATGGCATTAATGAGTCTAATGCATGGCGACATCATACAATTGAAGATGAAAGGCACGCTTTCCATCTTCATTACATATATGTAACAAGCAGAGAGAGAGAGAGAAGTAGCGTTCGGTTAGGGAGGGAAAGAAAGATGGGATGTTTCTTGTCGAAACCGAGATCGGAGAGAAGGCGTCACGGCGGAGGACATCGCCGGAAAAAGAGATCCGGCAGGCGGAGGAAGCACCACCACCACCACCATCACCATCATCACCATTCTGATTCATCTGACGGCGGAGGTCATCATTGCAGACACTAACCACTTTTCATCACTCCTATTTTACGTTTTTTTTAAATCTATAATCACTTTACCCTATAGTCAGTGGTTTGGTTAATAAACACAAAAGGAAAAAAAGATTTATCGCCGTTTAAATACAAATAAATGTTGCGATAATTTTTTTTTTGTGTGCTCCTTGGAAAGATATCAATAAATTACGCAGTTTTTTAATTGCATATAGTGAACACTTGAAGATAATCGGAATTTGATAATTTTTTATTACGCAAAGCTCGTTCTGTGCTATTTTGGGCTTGAATGGGCTCATTTTTTGGTTCTTTAAAAAGGTTATACTTGTATCATCATCATCATCATTGCTATTATTATTAATGTGATTGCATATGATATATATATATATATATATATATACTGCAATGAAATTCCCAAAACGGAATGATAAGGAGACGGATCTCGATATTGGCGAGAAAAGTCCATGAAAGTGACCACCAAATTTAATGGTAAATCCCCACTTGAATCTTTTTCCAATTTATTTGTCGGTCCACCATTGTTTTACCTTTGATTGGTTTAAGATTCATCAAATATTATACCCTTGTCTTCATTCGTTTTTATCTTACTTGATTTTTTCTCAATTACAAAAAAAAAAAAACATTTACTCGCGTTTCATCATTTAATCTCATTTGGCTTTTAAAAAATGATGCATTGTATGTGTTTTTGTTATCTTTTATGTTTCTTTTAATTACTGTTTAACATCGGATTCTAGTCAAATCTATATTTTCACACATCCTTGGTTTGAAATATTAAATATTATATATTTATATGTAATTAAGTAATATATATCAAAATTATCATACTCATTCGAATATAGACAGTAACGGGAAACAATATGGAACGTATGATTAATGGGTCAGTCAATGTTGATATCCAACATTAATGTGATTAATAATTAATTGATAGTAATAGAATACGTTTAGAGATTATAAAAGGTTTTCGCATTATTTGAAAATTTCGAACATATATTGATCAATATATTTCCATCGAGCATCGTACTCAAAGCTCAAATACCACGAGCCGTTTAATACGTGCGAATATCAAAATAAATATTAAACTCCAAAACAGTATGTACAATTAAAATATTATAAATTTGTTTATTATAAGGTCTTTATTTATCAAATAAAAAAGTTTTCTTCACTGTTATCCCCATTTCCGGACATAGATGGCAATTTGCGCCTCTGAAAAGCTTATCGGATTCCTTTTTGGGTAATTCCTTTTATATTTATTAATTACTCTGTGTCTCTCTCCTTTTATTTTTTAATTATTTTATCTATATGGGACCAATTTTAATATGCTCACATAAATTATTGATTCTCCTGTCTCCTGATTATATGTTTTCACACACACGGTTACCGTTTTCGGGTAAAAAAATGGAAATATATAGGTCCATAAAAATATAAATAAAAAACCTCTAAATGTTGTGTTTTAATAGATACATGTGTATATAAATTCCATGTGAACCGTATTCACATGTTTTTTTTTGTGACCAATTGTACTGTTAAGCTTAAATACAAAACCTAAATTGCATATAATTTATTAATTTTAGTAACTAATGAAAAATCTTTTTTTTTGGATAATCCGGAAGTTCACCGAGTGTTTGACCCGACTACATCTCCCAGAGGAACGGAGAAGTCCAGGTGAATGTCTCTTCCCACGCTTGGATTTGAACCCAGGGTGAGAGTATGTTTTGCATGTTATCTCACCACTAGGCCACCCAAATTTGGGTCCAATGAAAAATCTTGTCAAGCTGTTATGGAAAAATCAAGCAAACAAGGTACGGGTCTGGTCACAGTCTGTGCCTGAACATACGATTTGGAGCTCCGAATATCGTCGGAAGAAGAATGAAAATAAAAATTCAGTTTTAGGAAATTAAATTATTTATGAGGAAAAAACAAAATGTGAAAGGTGAGAATAATGGAAGTGGGGGGAGGATGTGAAATGACGAGAAAGCCCTCAGCTAAGGTGTCGGAAGAGGGCAAAGCCCGATGGCCATTAGTGTCATCACAGAAACAGAAAGTCTCAGGTACTTTTAACTCCCAGTTTCTACTGTGATGTCTCAATGACCCCTCTCTGTTTTTATTTTTCTTCCCCAGCTTTTTTCTGAAGCAAAAGGAATATGGTGAGAGCTTCTGGTTCAACTGAAGGCTCTCTCTCTCTCTCTCTCTCTCTCTCTCTCTCTCTCTCTCTCTCTCTCTCTCTCTCTCTGGTTTAATATGTAAAGACTGGTAGATACTGAAAATTTTACATCGATCGAGAGAGAGAGAGAGTCAGGAGCTGTGGGGTTAAAGATGCACGTGGAAGTCAGTGCAGATTTTTATTTTTTTATTTTCTTCCAACTTTTCTCACAACATAATAAAAAAAAAATCAAATTTCATAGTAAACGGAGATACCCAAGTTTGAACATTAAGTTGGACAGGGAATGCATATTCTAATCAATGACTTGTCCCGGATTCGAGATTAGTCTGAACCTCGGTTTAGAACAGCTAGTTATAAAAAAAAATATAATACCAAAAATATGAATTTTTGTAAAAGATCTAATATACATGTACGTATTTATTGGCTGGTAAATTAGATTTAATGGGGATTGGTTTGGTTCAGTTAGATTTAAATAATTATATAAATGTAGTTTTTATTTAATGATCTATTGAGAAGAAATATTTAGATCAGAACCAAACTAGATTTACATTCTAATCATAATATGTGTGTTTATTCATGTTGGATGATTCAAATATGCATGTGTATATATATATATATAAAATTAATTATGGTACTGAATAAAAATGGAAGGATTTGTTAAGGGAAGTGAATTGAAAACAAAAATGGGGGAAAAGTCAGGGAAATAATGAGGAGAGTGTAAGTGTATGAATTGAGAAGTCAAGTCATAGATGTCCACATCACATCCCTTCACATGGATCTAACACTACAAGAAAAACTGTTATTTGCGACCGAAAAATCTGTCGCAACATGAAGAAGAATCTGTCGGTAAAAAATATTTGCGACCGATTACGACCGACGGCTGTCGGTCGCTAAATCGTTGTCGCAAAATCTGTGTGGTCGTGATTCTGTCGCAAACTTGCGACCGACAGATCTGTAGATTATCGGTCGCTAATATACGACAGATGGTTAAGGTCGGTAATCTGTCGCAAATTGGTGAATTGATTTCTGTCGCACATTGCGACAGAAATAGGAGTAGGTACTCCGTCGCTACGTAACGACAAATAGCATCAGTCGCACTCTGTCGCAAATGGAACGACCAAATATAATCAGTCGCATTCTGTCGCAAATGTAACGACCAAATATAGCGGTAGGTATTCGGTCGCAATTGTCCGACTAATGTAAATGGTCGCATTCTGTCGCAAATGTAAAATTTGTAAAACAAATATTAAGAAATAATAATTATTTAAATTCAAATAAAAATTTAAAAATAAATATAAAAATATAAAATTAAAATTATTTATTTAAAATTAAAAAGTATTTATTAAATAAAAAGTATTTATTAAATAAAAACAAATTAAACACTAAACAAAAAAATTATCCGGATTGTCTGATCCGGTTGTTTGGTCCGCGGGTGTTGTAGAAGGTCCGACTCCGGGCTGAGGAGTCAAAAATGGGTTGAACGGCATATCTTGCGCCGTTGGTGGGTCGTCTCGAGGAGGAAATAGCCGGGCGAAAAGCGTCTCGTAACGCGCAATCCGTGCCTCAGCTTCTTCAAGTCTAGCAATCTTCCTGCGATCCTCCTCGAACTCTTGAATCTTTTTCTTCAACAGCTCGACCTCCCTAGTGAGTGAGACGTGGTGACCGATGGATGTTGCATCCGGATAACCACCACCCAACTGAGTCGCCATTGCACCGACGCCGTATATACGTCCTTTGGCATCGGGTTGGACAACCTACAAAATCAAAAGTATACGTCAATTAAAAAAATATAAACTTCCCTCCAGATAGAGGCTGTTGATTTCTGCTGGCGAAAGTTGGGTCGATCCACAACTCTCCTCTAACTGGGAGAGACGATCGGTGATCTTTGCCTGAATCGCATCCTCAATTTCCTGAACGCGATCGCTGATATAAGTACCGTCAGCTCGACGGTGAGTCTCCTGCAGCAATCGCAACGCAGAAGGTTCTTCACATTCCTTCTGCATCTGCACCCAAAAAATTTAATTAAAAATATTTAAAAAAATTTTAAAATAAATATTTATTTACTTACTATCTCATGGGCGACTCGAGCAAATGATCTCCGTCCTGCAGTGTGGGTCGGGGGTGCGCGTTCGACCTCCGCTCGGGATCGTCGATTGCTTGAGAATGTTTGACTCTTCTGCGTTCCCAAGCGGCGTAGACTCGATCATGAACAGACTCGTCCCAATAATAAGCTTGCTATAAAAAAAAAATTATAATTTTGTATGCATATATATATATAATTGAACTATGTGCCAAAATTCTTACCGCAAAAGCTCCAAACCAACGCTGTAGATCAGATGGAGGGACACGGGTGAAACTCCGCCACGGACCTTTGAAGTCCGACTGAAAGATGCTAACGACGGATGAAATCACGTCGTTATTACGACCAAACCTGTAAAAATCGAATTCGTAAAATTAATTTAAAAGAAATTAAAATAAATATATATTATATGCACAAAAATACATACCAAATAGAACCGGGGGAACGAACCCTAAACCCTAAAAATCACCCTAAACCCTCAATAAACCCTAAAATAAAACCCTAAACCCTAAATTCACCCTAAACCCTAAAATGAACCCTAAACCCTAAACTCTAAACCCTAAACCCTAAAATGAAACCTAAAATCCTAAATTCACCCTAAACCCTAAAATTCACCATAAACCCTAAAATGAACCCTAAACTCTAAAATGAACCCTAAACTCTAAAATGAAACCTAAAATCCTAAATAAACCCTAAACCTTAAAAGTAACCCTAAGCCCTAAATAGACCCTAAAATCTACAACTAACCCTAAATAAACCCTAAACCTTAAAAGTAACCCTAAGCCCTAAATGAACCCTAAAATCTACAACTAACCCTAAACCGTTCCATAACCTCGGCACGAAAAACACGAAAAACACGAAAAAATCGAAAGAATCGATCCATAACCTCGGTGTCGGCGGGGGACGGCGGCGCGGTGACGCTGCGGTGTCGTGAATAATGATAATATAGAAACACAAGTATAATAATTTCTTTCGGGGAAAAAAAATGATGGACTAACCATAATCATTAATTATATCTCTCCTATGTATTTTATACATGACCTTATAAGTTTGAGAATCCAACAACTACGTACCATTTGGATAACTATTGGAAAGAATTGTTAGAACAAATGTAATTATGATCACTAGCGGCGGGCGGCGGGGGACGGCGGCGAGTTCGAGTAATGGAAAGGTTTTGTTGCTAAGTGTCTGAGGAAGAAGACGATGCGCGATGTTTTTAATAACGTTGCGACCGATATATTCGGTCGCAATCTGTCGCTATGTCATTAAAGTGGGAGACACGTGGACAGTGCGACCGATATAGTCTGGCGCAATCTGTCGCTATGTCATTAAAGTGGGAGACACGTGGACGTTGCGACCGATTTAGTCTGTCGCCAACCGTCGCAACGAAAAAAAGCGGGAAACGCAGATGCCGACATTTTGCGACAATTTTGCGACGGATAATTCGGTCGCAACATAATGTAATAATTAAAAAAATAAAATGAAAAAAAATTACGATAACTAATATTTTGATTTCGAGTACAATATTTGTAATACAAATCGGTATTTCATACATA